TGTTAGTTACACGAACTATCATCCTGTATTTAGGTGTGTTGTACTTATTTTTGTCCTGTATTACCAAGCGTTTCCTAGCATAGTAATCAGTTTTTCCCTCTCGTCGTCTTCTAAACTTCACTTGGTATCTCTTAAAGTAGGCCTTATTCTTGACAACCTTAACAAAACCCATCCTGTGTAATATAGACCCGTGTCCACGGCCCTACACAGACCTGCAGGCCAAGCAGCACCACAGGGGGGAAAAAAAAAGCAAAATAAAGATTTTTAACAGAACTAAAAACCCCAGAAAATTCATATCTATATGGTTGCTAGGGAATGCACTTTAAAAGCAAGGACACAGAAAAGGAGAAATAAAAGTATAAAAAGAACTCCAACACTAACCAAAACCAGAGCTGGTATAGTACAGATATGACAGAGGAATTTTTTTTGGAAGTAAAGGAAGACACTTCATGATAACACATATTTTGACCTACTAAAAAGATCTAAAAATTCTAAATAAGTGTGTGGTTCATGACAGAGTCTGAAAAATATGTAAAGTAAAAACTGAAAGAATTATAAAGACAAAGATATAATTATGGTACGAAAATGTTAAATGTACTAAAAGTAATTCTTTTCAAGTGCTGCCAGTGGGTGATTTGATAAACTTTCTGTGAAACAAACTAGGAATACTAATTAAAAGGTTTAGGGGCCAGGGACATAGCTCAGCAGCACAGTGCCTGCCTGCCTGGCAAGCTCAAGGTCCTGAGTTTGATTCCTGGTAACAAAAAACAAAACAATCCCTGGTTCCGCAAAAAACAAAACAAAACAACCAAATCAATTAAAAGGACTAAAGTTATTCATAAGCAAGCAATAACTCAGTAGGCCCATTATAATGACATTTTTATAATTAAAAATTACAAACTATTTAACTATTACACATTAAATAAGTTATAGTACAAATGATTTTTAGAACAGACCTCTATTAACCATTTAAAAATCATGATGTGAAACTTTATTAATTCATGAATATGTGCATAGCATACAGGCACATGAAAAAAAAAAAGCAGAGTATAAACATCACATTCAACATGAGTGTCATTCTGCACAATACAGAAATAAATATGCTGGGGCTGCGAGATGCCTCAGTGGAATAAGCGCTTCCCTGGCAAGCACAAGGGCCTGAGTTCAATCCCCCATTCCGCCAAAAAAACAAAGAGAAAGAAACAAATAGACAAATATATATATATAAAAGTACCCTGCAAAGAGATACACCAGAAGATTAAAGTGTTTTTTTTTTTTTGTATTTTGTACAGAGTATACAGGGTCTCACTGCACAGATCGGACTCAGTGATTCTCCTGTTTTCTGCCTCCCAAGCACTGGGATTACAGGTGCGTGTCACCACGACAAGTCTCAATCTCCATCTCAGTGTGCCCTGGGGGTGGGGCCGGCATGGCACGCAGGGGATTGAACCCCCAGTTACTATTTTCCTCTGCTTTTTGTCCTTTGTTTACTTAGAGTGTCTTTGTTTGATAGAATAAATGTGTATTACTCTCATAATTTGAAAAAATGTTATTATTTAAAAATAATTTTATGATGACCACAATTACCTGGAAAGTATATTTACTTCCATGATGCACAACGTTTTTTAGTCTGTTTCCCAAGAGAAAGCAAGAGAGCTGACACACGTTAGCCTTAAATGACTGCTACTTAACTAAGAACTAACCTAACATCTCTGAATAAATGAAGAGGGTAAAGAACACTGATGATGAGAAAATGAGAAAATATTATAAAATTAATGCCCACATTCTACTTGTTCTAGAAGTATCATTAACAGGAATTTCTAATTAATTACCTTTCACTGTTGTTGGTTACAAGAAGAAAAAAATATTTTTAAAACAAAAGATATAAAATGAAAACATAAATACCTTATGAGCCAAATGAAAGAGCAGGCGATTTTGTAGTCGGCTTTTTGGAGCTGAAAAAAAAGATCCAAGTTGAAGAACTTAATAGGGCCAGTGAGATAGCTCAGCGGGAAAGCTCAGGGACCAGGGTTCAATCTCCTGCACCGCATGCCATGCTGGCTTTGGCCCTGGGCATGCTGAACTGGCCACCGAGACTGGGCATGGTGGTGCATGCCTGTAATCCCAGTGCTGGGGAGGCTGAGACAGAAGGATCACTACAAGTCCGAGCTATGTAGTGAGACCTTGTGCCAAATTAAAAAAAAAAAAAAAAAAGAACTCAATAGCCCATCACACTTAAACCCTTGAAAGAATAAAATGAAACCCATGTGCATATGTGCTGCTGAAGTGAGCAGAGGTGGAACTCGTGTGGCTCTCCCCAGTCTTTATCTACCTGACCCTGGTATATGTCTGCTATGGTAAACACTGCGTGAGTCTGGCTGCACTGGGAGTAACATCAAGAACCAGAAGGGAATGTGCTAAGGCTCTGCCCTGCCCCTCTGCTTGTTTGCCCAGTTCCTTTATGTCCCAAAGCACAGCCACCACACGGAGTTAGGAGTCGCAACAGCAGCCCCCAGCTATGGCGGACACTGATGCTCAGCCAGTGCGCACACGAATCCGCTCTCTTTTGGGGTGTACAGTACTCACTAGTCCTCTAAAATCTCCTGTTGTGTAGGTAAGCTGCCATATTTTCCTAAGCACTAGTCTAGGCTTTACGCCATAGATCTTCCAGCATAACAGTGTACCACACTTACACGGGCAGCTAAGAGAAAAGGTTAAGATTTTTTAAGCTTCAAATTTCCTTTGCACGCTTGGAAATTTTTCTGATACTGAACACCCAATTTTATACTGCGAGTTTTGTAGAAAAAAATTCCTACTTCAATGCATAAAAAAGAAAATATATACATATGGGAACAGAGATAGCTGCCTGGGCATTTTTATGTACCTAACACTTTTCTAGACACAGAAAAAATCAAGAAACATGACACCAAGTACAAACCCTATGACTAAATTAGGAAAAGGCGTATCAATAAACATACAATAATTTAGGCACAAATCAAGAAAGGCTTCAAGTTCTGCCTTTTCTAGGAAGATACTGCACATTATTAGGGAATGAATTCATCCCTAGTAAATTTCTTCCCAAATACTCTTTCCCTTGCCCATTTTTTCTATAGTTTCTTGAATTTAATTTGATTCACATACTAACTATCCTTAATCTTTTCTTCCATTTTTCCTTTATTCTTATTTGTAGATTTGAGTATAATTTTCTTATTCTTATTTGTAGATTTGAGTATAGTTTTCCCGAAATGACTATAAAGTAAGAAAGAAGAGAAGGCCTCTGGATTCTCCCCTTCTCGCTGAAATTACCAAGTTTCTTCTCACTCACAAGCTGGACAGGCAGCTGGGCAGCCACAGCCATTGGGCCACACAGCTCCACCCGCTCCAAATGGCAGTACATCCTGCCACGCTGGGCGGAGTAAGGGCGACCCCTGCCCTTTCCTTTTTTCTCATCCATCTGCTTTTAGTCTATACCTCCTTGGGCAGGAGGGCATGGAAAGGAGGATGTGAGTGCAACACTCTCTTTACACATAAAATTGACAAAGTTCACTAGTTTTTGAAGAGCAAAGGTCCTTTTTTTTTTAGCTTTTTAAAGTCAGTTGGGTTTTTCCTCAGCTGTAGCAAAGAGGAATAAAAGAATTTTTAAATCTCCAAAATGACTCATACTGTAGTAAATGGAGATTATGGGATATAAAAGGACAACAATTTAGCCAGGCATGACAGCACATGTCTGTAGTTCCAGCACTTCGGGAAGCTGAGACTGCGAAACCCCGAGTTCAAGCCCACTCTGGTTCACTTAATGACTTAGCAAAACTTACAAAAATTTAAAATAAACTCTTAAAAAGGGCTGGGGATGTTGCTTACTATGAAAGTCCTAAGGTCAGTCTCCAGTACTGAAAAGAAAACTATGACAGCAACAAGAACAGGGAGTCCATTTTACCCTTAAATCCTGCAGCTTCCGCTTGTTTATACATCCCAAGGAAAAAGTAGGTGCAGGCCAGGTTCACCCAGACTTCAGGGCTGCAGCTCTCCTCTTTTGTTGCGCTTTCATATTCCTGAAATAGATATTAAGCAGTGACCTCGCTGTGGCAGTACTGGGGCTCTGTAATTTCAGCATCTGTGCTGCTGAAGCAAGGACTAATTGCTCCTATCATGCAAGAAGATTTCTTCCTGAGAGAGGGCAGCTCCACCCTTAGGAAATCCTCCCTATTCCTCAATCCTTTTGTACCCGAGAAGATTAAACAGTGAAGCTAAAGCTCTCTCTCTTAACCATGATGGGGTGTTGGCCACAACACCTCACATAGCTTTAACCACATTAACCACTGATGCGGGCCAACAAACTGCAGAAATGAAAAATGAATGAAATATTTTATGTTTTTGCTAATTTAAAAAGACATGCAAGATAAGAAGTACATTATTTACTTAAAATCTGATCACTTTAATGTACTATAAATTTCATCTCATTCTAATTGTTTCTTGGCTTTGGTGATTTGGTTTACATTTTAAAAAGGCTTTTTTTTATTATGTATTTAGTACAGGGTCTACAGGGTCTCACTACACAGATCAGACTCATAGTAATCCTCCATTTTCAGCCTCCCAAGCACTGGGATTACAGGCACATGCCACCACAGCATGCTGGGGATCAAACCTGGGTCTCTGCATCTGCCTAAGCAGGTGCTTTAATCCGCTGAGCTATACGGCCAGTCCTTACGAGGTGTTGTTTCTTTTCCTGCCAAGAACATGTTTTCTATCCATGTTTCTCAGCAGTCCATTTCTTCTCCTTACATTTGGGCTACTTGTGCTTTTCTCATATACTTTTCACAATACCCAGCCACTGATCCTTCCCTTTCATATATTCATCTTTTCTTCAACGTTTTTGTTCTTTTTGTCCTTCATCCTGCTTTTTCATTGCATAGGCTGGAATACTGTTTTTATTATGTGTGCTCTTCAATCTCCTCAGGTTATATATACCTTAAGAATGAGAGTATGTGGGACGTGTTGAAGACATTTCACTTATAAATGTAAAATTGCTTGCTTGGCACCTATCTTTTTTTTTTTTAGATACATAAGCCTATAAGTTAATCATTGCAGGTAGGTAGTGTTTACAATAACCAAGAAAAATAATCCCCAAAGCACCTACATTTACAAAAATAAAGATTATATAAAGATAATATAACCTTTCCTATATCTGAAAATAATCAAATAAAATTCTTTTGAGGAAACATGAAAAAAAATTTTTAATCAAAATAACTTGTCTTTCCTCTCCTGCAGATTTTTTTTTTCTCTTTGGTAGTGGGGATTGAATTTAGTACTTTGTGCTTGTCAGGCAGGCACTTATGCCACCTAGCTGTGTTCCTGGCCCATCTTGAAGATTTCTTAAACAACATTAATGCAAGCTCAGGTAGAGCTAAGTGGCAGAGCATTTGCCTAGCACAGAGAGCCCTGGTTCAGTCCCGCACTATTCCCAGGTACTGTGCTATACCATTCAGTGTCCATGTAAAAGTGAAAAGCAAACGAGATACTTAAGTTTTATACACTGAATATAGAAACAGACATACAGGTATAGGCATAGGCATAGGCAGAGGCAAAGGTATACATATAGAGGTATATATGGAAATTTTGAGGCAAATACATTAAAGAAGAGGAGTACCTGCTATTTCTTAACAAAGAAATAGGTCTGGGGAATGCAGACAGGTTGATGGTTCCTGCATTGTTTGAATTTTACCATGAATATACTACAAAGCTTAATAACATTTTAAACACATTTTTGTTAGATTATTTTAAAAAACCAACCTCCAGAGCCCTCTTGTAGTCACCCAGGTGAAAAGCACAGTATCCAATCCACAAATTCGTATCTTCTTCTTGTTCCCCAACATGACGCTTGAACTTCGGGTTAAAAATTCATGAAAAAAATTGTGAAAAACTTTGAACAGTAAACCCTCTGTTTAAAAAAATATATTATGTTAAGTTTCTGGCCAGTGATCACCAAGCTGAGTAACAAGACAACACTCAGTTTTATGATTAAGCCTAGGGAGAGAGCTGTGTATCTCCCAACTGTCTCCGAAACCTGTCACAGAAATTTATATGTTCAAATATTTCACATTTGTTTCTTCATTTACTGATACTTTACTCCAGGAAGTATTTGCATTACCTCGCAATTCTTCTAGCACAAGAATTACATGAAATTTTAAAGCCAAATACCTTACAGTTAGGGAGGTTGAGCACTGAATTGAAGGCCACACAGCCAGCATGTGTGGCGACAGGGACTTAAAGGGATGCCTGCTTCCAAAGCCTGTGTTTCATACTAATTCAACCCCACACTTCTGTCCTGTCCCAAGAGCTCACATATATTATTAATGCACCATCACTTTTCACTGAGGACAAACCATGAAATCATTCTCTTACCCCTGAGCAGGCTAGCTTACCAGACCTGCAAGAGTTAAGGTTGTAGAGAGGACTGGCCTCATTTATGTCCTTCATGAACAAATATTTATGAATTCCTCAGCTGACAAAGAAAAGTCTTGTTTCAAAGAAAAAGATTGAAACTTGGAAGGAGAATTCTAAGTTACCATGGTAAGGTAACTTTTTTTTTTTTTAACTCTTCAAGGTGATAAACCACCTTTGATTTTTTTTTTTTTTTTTTTTTTTTTTTTTTTTTTGTAGGGGGATGGTCTGAGACCAGAATTACTCTTCTTGCAAATACTGTGAATTTGAGGATAATACCTGCAGTCTCAGGAAATTCTTTTTTTTTTTTTTTTTTTTTTTTTTTTTTTTTTTAAAGTTTATTTATTTTATTTAGTGTGTGTGTGTGGGGGGCAGCTCAGGCCACCTGGGGGCGGGGCTGGCTGGCATGTGGTGCTGGGGGATTGAACCGCGGTCCCTGTGCTTTGCTAAGCTTGTTCTAAGTAGGTGCTTTAGACCACTGAGCCATCTCACCAGCCCCTCAGGAAATTCTTGAGGTCTCCCTGAATTTACCCCATGAATTTACTGGAGCCACAGGAGAGATCATTCTAACACCAAAACCCCTCCCGTAGCATAGAAGTCCAATGAGCTGCCAAAGACTGTAGGCATACGGCCAAGTCTCCCTCGCTTCAAGGTTATCTGAGATTATATGATGAGAAAAATGTGGCCACTGCTTCAAAGGAAAGAAATTGGCACAAAAATATACACAGCACGCAGTCCTTCCAAGTCAACACCCCTACTATAAAGATGAAAAAGCTGACACCAACAGAAGCTAGACAATGTACCCAACAGGCATGCACTAGTAAGATAGGGCAAGCAACTTATGTGAAGCTAACTAAATAGTATCACTGACAAGATTCACAGTAATACAGCCGGAGTAGTGTTTTGGAGGGATAACGGCAGCAAAACACAACTAGACCATGCCGTCCAAACCCAGCCACCTTTGGGGCACCCTTGCAGATGCCCCAAAGAGCAGTTTCTCTGAGCACAGTCTCCTTGGACCAGCTACGTCAGCAGCCCTTAGATCTATGATGGCCAACCCATAGCACATGTGCTGCAGCAGGTTGTACATTATCACTCTAAAAGGTTCACCATGACTGACTTAGACTACCTAAAATGCAGATTCTTGGGCACCATCACAGACCAAAAGAATCAAAATTGCTAAAGCAGAAGCCCACAAATATATACATGTACCTGAGAAATGGCTCTCAATACTTCTCAAAAGGTGAGAACTACTAGTGTTATGGTTTGTGTATAGGTATCCCCCACCCACCCACCCAAAGCCTCTTGCAGTCATGGGGTGGCTTCTGGAGTTTGGGATTGATTATTGTGGGTGTGGGTGCTACCCCTGCCCTAGGGCAGGTAATGTGCATTACAATGCAAGGAGGAGAGAGGCCAGCTAGCTGCCTGAGCTGCTGCCACTCCCTTCGCTCCCTGCTCTTTGCCACCACCAGCAAAGGCTGCTCTCTGCCATGTGCCGCTCTGCCTTGGAGCCAGCCGAGTATGTAGTGAAACCTCCAGTAACTGTGAGCTAAATAAACCTTTCCTTCCTTCATTTTGGGGGTCTGGCATTTGTCCCAGCAACGAGAGAAGAGTAACTGAGACAACCAGACTAGGGGTGCAGCTCAAGGTGGAGTTGCACAAAGCCCTGGAGCACAGGAGGATGGAGAACTAAGGCCATATAGACCTGAGATACTTTTTGGTGATACGATATTTTTAAAGTAAGCATGACAGAATTACTTGAATTTGTCCCAAGTTTTATAACATAAAAATACATGATAGATTGGCTAAGAGATAAAATAAGCAATGTGTAAAGTGGCACCGTATTAAATGTCACTTCATATGTCAGGTTGGGCTCACCAAACTAGAGAGATATAATTAAATGTGGCTCTCCCTCGCCCCCCCCCAAAAGTGGGCTTCACCTCAAAAAAAGATACACTATTTGTTCTTATTTTATTTTTTGGTGGAATGGGGGACTGAACTCAGTCCCTTGCGCTTGCCAGGCAAGTGCTTATTCTACTGAGCCATCTCCCTGGCCCCTCTATTTTATTGTTGGTACTTTTAAATTTTTTAAAAATGTTTTATCTGTTTTGGCACAGAGTGTTGTTATGCAGCTCAGACTCATAGTGATCCTCCTGTCTCAGCCTCCCCAGTGGTGGGATTACAAGCATGTGCCACCAGGCCTCGTTTCAGTGGCCCACATGGCATGTGGTATTAGGGATCAAACCTGGGTCCTTGAGCTTGCCAGGCAGGCGCTTAGACCGCCAAGCTATCTCCCCAGCCGGGTACATTTTGTTTTATTTTAAATTCAGCTTCAACCAGGTTTACAGTTATCTTGGATCTAGAATCTGCAACTAACTAGGCTTACTAGGGGCATCTTGAAGCTGCCTGGGAAGCACCCACTGTTCCAACAACATACCAACCAGCAGTCAGGCGCCCAGGCATTCCTCTGTGGTCTGCTGTTCCCCAGACTGAGCAGCCGCCTTCTTTAGACATTACCTCCAGTAGAGTGATGGCTCCAGTGAAATCTCTCTGCGAAAGTAGCTCCTCCAGTTTTGGAATCTTCCTGCCTTTCTTCTTCCTTTTGTTAGTCTGTGGTGGTTCCCCGCCTACAGCGGGCTTGGCCCTTGAAAGTATCTGTAAAAGAAACCATAGCCACTACTGTACTGTCCAAATCTTACGGTCTGCTTTACAACGACAGCGACAGCCCCAGGATGCACAAGCCAAATCCTCAGCAACCCCAGGGAAGAAGCCCATTTCAACTCTCTTTGGTAACAGGTATTTTACTAAATGGGCATCAGCACTTGAACTGAACCAAAATAGCTCCTCGCACCTTCTCTATCTATAGGAGATGCCTCACTGCGGCTTTTGGCGCCCCTTGCTCTGCTCTCCGGCGGACGCGCAGCTCAGGCTTGGGGAGACGAGGAGGAGGAGGGACAAAAGCATCAAGTTATCTTCGCATCCCTCCGGGTCCCCCATCGGCACACTGGGAGGTGAGGAAGATGATCCTCTGTTGACAAACCTAGCCTTTATGCCCAAAGCAGGCTGGGAATCGCTAACCTCCCGCCGGTCCTCAAAGTTCTCCCTTACTGCGATAGCCACTAACCATCTTGGCGTTGGTCCTGCGGGTCCTCTCTGCGGACAGCGAAGGCCGCGCTCCGGCGCTCCGCCGAATCCGTCCAGCGCGCTCTGTTTCCACGGCAACCCGGCGGGGCGGCTGGTCCGTCCCGGAAAAGAGCTCGCTGGAGAACCGGCGCCCTGCGCTGCTTGGTTCCGGAGCGCTTCGGCCGCTGGAGGACTAGGTGTTCCTCTCTCGGGAGGTTGTTGTTCGTTGTGCTAAGAGCGAAAGTTTGCTGTGTTGCTGTCTATGAGTTTGCTGGAGGAAACGATGGATTGGAAGGGCATTGTTTTTCAAGAGCAAATTTCCTCGGAAAGTGATTTTCGAGGACCGCTTCGGTCCTGGGCTCTGGGGGCTCCATAGCAACCCCGCGGGTTTTGGGCTCTCGGCCTCTTTGTCTGGCTGGCTTGGAGGCGTGGCAAACAATTTTTTGCTGCACCAAGGGAGTTGGCCTGTGGAGACAGAAGTGGTGGCAAACTAGTTTCTCACCTGCTCGGACACATCAACACACAATAAGGAGCTGTAGTAAATATTTGCTGTTTGGATGGATTAATTTATGCTGCAGATCTGTTGCAAAGGTGGTCTTTATTATTTATGTATTTTGGGGGAAGGGTCTACAGGGTGTTCAGGGTCTCACTACTAGATCGGACTCGTAGTGATTCTTCTATTTACAGCTCCCAAGAACTGGGATTACAAGCGCGCACCCCGGGGGCGGGGCCAGCACAGCACGCCTGGGGATCGAACCCCGAACCCCGGCCCCTGCGGCCCGGCCCCTGCGTCTGCTTGCAGGCGCTGTAATCCGCTGAGCTATTGGCCGGCCCTTAGGTGGTCTTTAAAAATGACTGCAACATGGAATGTTGGCGCTAGGAGCGACTTTACAGGACGTCCAGTCAAGCCCTCAGAACTGACAGCCTCTGGCAATGACTAATTTCTTTTCTGTTTATGGATTTGTCTATTCTGCATAACATCTTACTAGTAACTAACATCTTACTAGTAACTAACAACGGGGGGCGACGTGACATGGCTGAATTGCTTTACATGCCTGAATTACTGTAGGTACTTTACAGAACTAGCCCTGTGGAAGCTCGGCATACCATAAGCCCATGGAAGGCAAATATGATTTTTTAGATTCCTTTGTGTACTCCTCCTGCACCAGCCTTAGTCTGTCCTCTTGCCCCGTAATCTTTGGGAGCATGAATGATGCTTATCTTCATTCACTGATGCATACACTTTTGTATACACAAATATCGATGTGCAGAGAGACAAATAGACTTCAGAGGTGCACAGATTTACCACTGTCGTAGTTACAATAATTTTGGGTCCAAATTTCAAAAATATCCTTTTTTTTGGGGGGGGGGATATTTAAAACAAACTTAGTTATAACATCCTGCTGTGAAGAGGAGCCATGACTAATTGCGACCACTGAATGTCATAGAATATTTTGTTACCTTCAAGAAGGACCTTCACACACATTAGAAGTTGCTTATAATTCTTCCCGCTCCTTAGCCTCTGGCAATGACTAATTTCTTTTCTGTTTATGGATTTGTCTATTCTGCATTTTTCTTTTTTGTGCGTGTGTGTAGCAGGAATTGCACTTAGGATCTTGCACTTGCCAAGGCAGGTGCTTAGGCCACTGAGCTATCATCCTGAGCCCCTATTCTGCATATTTTATGTAAATGAAATCATATAAGGAAGAACCACATACAATATGTCTAAATATTTAATTTTTTTATTAGACAAGGTCTCACTAGGTAGCTCAGGCTGGCCTTGAACTACTTAGGTAGCCCAATTTGACCTTGAACTCCCAGTCTTCCAAGTGCAGTGATTACAGGTGTGTACCACCATGTCCCGCTAAATATTGAAATTTTAAAAATCAGCCTAGCAAATTATTAAAAGAAAATGTCTTATCCTTTTTTTTTCCCCCCTGTACTTTAGGGTAGGGTCTACAGGGTGTTTAGGGTCTCACTACTAGGTCGGACTCAGTAGTGATCCGCCTGTTTACAGCCTCCCAAGCGCTGGGATTACAGGCGTGAGCCACCACGCCCTCTCTCAATTGCCTTCTCAGCACTCCCCAGGGGCGGGGCTACACTTCGGGCCTGGGGATCCAACCTCCAGCCCCATGTGTGCTTGCAGGTGCTTTAATCTACTGAGCTATTTGGCTGGCCCCATTTTTTTTTTTTTTTCTTTTTTGTATTTTAGGGAAGGGGAAAATGTCTTATCCTTCTACCTTGACAAATATACCACCATAAAGAATTTCAGTCTCCAATTTCAAATTCTCTGACTTCTCAGAATTCTCTGCTGGATATGGCAGTTACAGGGAGGTTTAGCCCCAGCCCACGCCCCTTCTCTTCTCATTCCAAGCTGTAGCTCACACCAGGATAGCTTTGTGTGTGTGTATGGACACCCAGGCCACAAATCCAAGCTTTTAGTCACCCAACCCTCCTGGCACCTGTTACCACCTCATAGCCCTAAAGGGAAGAGGGTGCCAAGGAAGAGAGCTGCTCAGGTATGATAACAGGCCTGATGTCATATGGGCAAGAAGTGCAGCCCGTGGGCATCATAGCACAGCTTGGAAAGGGTGCCAGAACCTCTTGGCCTCTCTCTCACACCTGCAGGGTGCGGTTACAGTGCAGAGCCCCAGAACAGAGCCCCTCTCACCAGGGTTTACAGGCAGTATTGCTGGTAATGTTGTAAACCACTCTCCAGAATTTGCTAAGTCATTGAAATAAATCACTGATTTCCATCTGAATCCTAGTAAAGGTCCTTTCAACTACAGCTGTAGTAATGAAGGGAAGGATAGAATATTGAGTGTACTTGAGAAGTTATCTTTCCCAGAGAATCACTTTGGTGTTGTAAAAAAGGCAGTAATAACTTGGGCATGGTAACACATACCTGTAAAAATCTTAGCACTCTGGGGGGCTGGGGCAGGAGGATCACAATTTCTAGTGTGGCCTGGGCCAGTTAGTGACTTGGCAAGACCATATCTCGAAGTAAAGAACAACTTTTTAAAAAAAAAAACTGGTGGGCTGGTGAGATAGCTCAGGGGCCTAAAGCGCCTGCTTAGGCAAGCTTAGGCAAAATGCAGGGACCACAGTCCACTCCTGGGGACCACAAGCCCCGCCAGCCCCGCCCCCGGAGTGGGCTGAGCCCACCACAAAAAACTTTGATGATGCAGCTTTATGCAAAAACCCTGGCTCAATCCTCTGCACAGCAGGAAAAACAGAAATCCTAGACCTGCAAATCCTGGAAATATGGATAAGAAACACAGTTGGAACTTGCAGCTTTACTGCAGTTGTGATAGAATGGTAGTTTCTGAAGAACTGCAAAAGATAATCCAGATTGTGGCGATGGTTATACGGCTGTGTAAATTTACTAAAAATCATTAATTTATGCAATTAAAACAAGTGGGAGTATGATATGTAAACCGCATCTCATTAAATCTAGCTTTGTTATTTCTTTGAAAAATAAACCAGTTCTGAGCTCCTTCTGATGTTCCTGAGTCCCTCTTTCTCTTTTCTTCCTGATGCACAATGATTTTTGGTTCTTTCCTCAGAAACCGCTGTAGAAATGCTGCCATCCTTCACCAGTGCCACATGCTGTTGAAGAAATAACAGGACATTAAGAACTTCCGGTGTGTGGTGGGGTCATTGTATTCAGAGTAGAAGTGATAGAAGTTGTGCCCAGCATGCCCAGGGCTGTATGGGTCCAATACTCAGAAAAAAAATAGCAGTTTTATTTCTTAAGAAACTTGATTTTCTTCAAAGAAAGTGAAAAGAGAGCTTCACATTTCTTCAGCCCACCACAGCTCAATTTGTCCACTTGTTGGAGTGCTACTAGGTTTTTTTTTCCCTGCTTTTGTTCATTATGTTTACAAATAGTCTACATTACCATCAAAAAGAATGTCTTAAAAAACAATGTTTATTTTGCTTCCTCTTAGCAAACCATATGAGAGGGGCTGACTAGTGGATAGTTACCCCAAGTGCAAGCAGTAGAAAATGAGGGCCGGTGAGATAGGTCAGTGGACTAAGCACCTGCTTTGGCAGGTGTAGGGACCAGGGTTTGATCCCTGGTCCTGCACACCAAGCTGGCCCTGCCCCCAGTGTGGTGAGCCAGCAACTGAGTCCAGGGTTGGTGGCACACACCTGTAATCCCAGCGCTGGGGAGGCTGAAAATAGGAGGATCACTAGAGTCCTGAACTGTGTAGTGAGGCCCTGTACTAAATACATAAAAAGGAAAAAGGGAAAAAAGAAAAAAAGAAAAAGAAACAAGAGGACTCCTTCAAGAAATAGATTTTTCAGTTGTTTAAAAATGTTGTTTTGGGCCGGGGAGATGGCTCAGTGGAATAAGCGCTTCTCTGGCAAGCATAAGGACCTGAGTTCAATCCCCCGTTCCAAAAAAAAAAAAAAAAAAAAAAAATTTAAAAATGTTGTTTTTGGGCTGGCCAAATAGCTCAGAGGATTAAAGCACCTTCAAGCAGGTGCAAGGGCTAGGGGTTCGATCCCCAGGTCTGCTGTGCCCAGCCCCGCCCCTGGGGCCTGCTGAGATGGCAGTTGAGACTGGCCATGGTGGCGCACGCCTGTAAGCCCAGCTCTTGGGAGGCTGTAAACAGGCAGAGCGCTATGAGTCTGATCTAGTACTGAGACCCTGAACATCCTGTAGACCCTTCTCTAAAAAAAAAAAGTTGTGTTTTCCTGTTGCAACAAGTACTATGAATTCACTGTGAAAATTTTGTAATATACTGAGAAATAAAATGAAGAAAATGTAAGCTAGGTATAAATCTATAGGCAGGAAACTATATATGTGTGTGTGTGTGTGTGTGTGTGTGTGTATGTGTATGTGTATATATATATATATTTTTTTTTTTTTTCAGCTCTGAATATTGAACTCAGGGCCTTAGTCATGGTAGGTAGTGGTCTAGCACTGAGCTACATCTCAAACCCATCTACAGATTTTTTTTTTTTTTTTTACTTTGAAACAAGATTTTTTTCTCATTTGCCCAGGCTGGACTTGAACTTGCAATTCTTCTGCTTTAGCCTCTTGAGTAGTAGGAGCTGATTCGTATGTGCCACCACATC